TGACTGTGACAAACATTTAGAGCTATTGTCTCTCCCTTACCCATGTTTAAACTGGTGTAACTTCAATGATTTCTGCTGGTTTAAATGAGAGTAGAAGCAAGGTGTTTTTGCCTACACCAAACTGATAAATTGATAGTTGTTCCACATGAGGATTATAATAATTCACAAAGAACACAAGAGATTGAAAATGGGCTTTTTTGGTATGGTAACGATTTTTAGATATTAAGCAAATGCAGAGCATGTTTTACCAGGTCTGTCTGCTAGATATTGGCAATACCTAAAGAAACTATGAGCCCAGTTGTGCCTTCAGTTACGTCTGTGCAGCACCATAATGTGGTTGTGCAACACAGGACAGAATTTGTCCCTAAGGCTTTGGGATAGTCCTGGCTAATAATACTTTGTCCTACTGGTTGCACTATTTTACATGGTCATACTTGCAGCACTTATTTCATACCCAGTAAATCCTTTGAAACTGTGCCCCTTTTTCTGGGTGTCCAAAATGCTCTTGTTGCTGACACCTGTGCTGTCCTGGCAAAGTAACTTGCCAACAGTTATGACTTGCCCCTGGGACAAGCTGGTTTGGATACAATTATTATGGGATGGATATAGGATGACCAGATAGCAAGTGTGAAAAATTGGGATGCGGGGGGTGGGGGTAATAGGTGCCTATATAAGAAAAAGCCCCAAATATTGGGACTGTCCCTATAAAATCAGGACATCTGGTCACCCTAGATGGATACATGATGGAGTGGGAAGGTCTGTAAACAAATAGAACTGTGAGAACTTGGGAAGCGGTATTGAGCAGAGATCCAGAGGCTTTAGTGCCATGTCTAGCATCACTCAGTAGACTTGCACAAAGAGATACACCTGTCAGTCACTAACCACGCAAAGCTAGGAGGGATGGCTAACACTATGGGAGCCTGGCCAGATAAAGCAGGCTGTGGGGAAATGATGGAAATGGGAAGAGTAACAAGTAGCTCACTTGATGGGAAAGAGACTAAGTTTAAAAATGGGAAAAAGTTTGTTTAAAAGCAATATTGCAGGGGGGAAAAAAGATTTTGGGGAGGGAGGGGAAGGGTTGGCAGGTGATTTAAAACTGAACTTGCATATGAAATACAGAGCTGCCACCAAAGGCAGGTGCTACACTGGACTGTAGAAACACAAGTGCTAGGTGTTGGTCCAGGGAAGACATTATTTCTTTCTGTGCACTGGACACAACTAAGCACTGCATGAAATTTTGAGCACCCTGTTAGCAAAATAGTGGAGAAAATATCATATAAAATGAAACCAAAGTACTGCTATTTAGAACATGTGGCCCACAAGGAGTGATTAAGGGAAATTGTTATACATTTTTGGTAAAAGACAACAAAGGGGCCAATATAAAAATTACTGAAAGAACGGATATATTTGTTTATAAATACAGCTCATATCTCAAGTGTTGACAATAATTGGATGTCAACCATCTACTGAGCATTCACTATATAGCACTTAATGATTATATTTCTCCACTTCCGTTCTTCTTTCCTGTCTGTTTTTATTCCTTTTTAAGGTTTAAATTAATCTCTGGACTTCAAATTAACTTGGGCACAATAGATGAAAAAGACTTGTCTATGCTTCCACCAGTTCAGGATTGTTTCCCCACAGTATATTCTTCAATGCTTCACATTAGGGACCTGATTAGGGCCTTGTATTTAGTGTTGTCATTTACACCTGTGCAGAGTGAGGGCACAGTAGGTGTTAAAGGCAATCGGATCAGAATGGTAGCATTTTAATCCTGTGTTGCACAGATGTAAATGACTACACTAAGCACAGGGGAGTGGAGAATTGGGCCTTATATTTTTCCAGTGGGTTTTCAGTTGCATACAAAGGGAAGTTTTGCTATTGACTTAGATGGGAGCAGGTTGTGAATGAAAGACTATATGAACCCGATCCTGCAAGCTGAGGAGCACCTTCCACACCCATGAAAGTCCATGGAGGTTGAGAGCATTCAGTACTGTTCAGGAGGTGCTCAGCTAACCAGGTTAACTTGAATTCAGTGTGTGTGATGGGGTGAATCCCTTATAGAACTGGGAGTGAGAAAAAGAGTCAGCCAAACTGTCAATCACCCAGAGAGACGGTAAGGACTTCTCTGCAAAGGGTTCTATGTACAGGAGCCCTTTATAAAACACCTGGCTCTCTCCCAACTAGAGAGTTAGAGTTGAAGAGCTGGTGAGGAAGGGTCATCTCCGCCAGTTGTGAGACATGGAGTACAGGTAAATGGACTGACATTTTTGTTATGGAAAAGTATCCCTTGTTCTTTTTTAAAAAGAAAAAGAATGTTTGGTACTTTGTTTGCTAAACCTCTCTGAACTGCATCCTGCTGACTTGTTTGGACAGCCTTTCTGCTACAGTTGGTGTGAAGGGTGGGATGGCAGGCTTGTGAAGAACCTGACCGGAGGTTGACAGGTGACTCTATATGGTGTCTTAAACATCCCTGGTATCACATTCGAAAGAGCCCTAGATATGGTTTTGTGATGAGCTGATGCATAACTGGAATGGCAGACTTAACAGTGTAAGGGAAGGTTTCTAAAATCAGCATGACTCAGTCCAGGGGCTATTAGTAAAAGTACCAAAAAATATTTTAAATAAAAAACCCCAAAAGACCAACAAAGAATGTCTTTCCATAAGATAGTGTCAGTCCATTTACCCATTCAAAGTACTCCATATGCCTTATTGCAGGCCCAGGTTCCTCCAGGTCAGAGGTTCTCAACCTTTTTCTTTCTGAGGCCCCCCCAATATGCTTTAAAAACTCCACAGCCCACCTGTGCCACAATAACTGGTTTTCTGCATATAAAAGCCAGAACTTCTGTTAGTGAGTAGCAAGCAGGGCAATTGCCTGGGACCCCATGCCACAGGGGCTCCCACAAAGCTACATTGCTCAGGCTTCATCTTCAGCCCCGGGTGGTGGGGCTCAGGGACCTGGGCTTCAGTCCCAGGTGGTGGTGTTTCGGCTTTCTGCCCTGGGCCCCAGTGAGTCTAATGCTGGCCCTGCTTGGAGGCACCCCTGAAACCTGCTCAAGGCCCCCTATGGGGCCCCAGGCCCCGGGTTGAGAACCACTGCTCCAGGTGACCCTTCCTCATCAACCCTTTAATTCTGACTCTCTAGCTTGGAGGGAGCCAGGGGTTTTAATGAGGGCTTCCCTACCCAGAACCCTTTGCAGAGAAGCCCCTCCCCATCTTTCACAGTTTGGGTAGCTAACCACTCTTTTCCTCAGTCCTGGTTCTGTAAGGGCTTCACCCCTTCATACAATGGGATTACTTATGTGAGTGAGGATTGCTCAGGTGAGCTGGGCTTGCAAGATCAGGCCCTAAGAGCCTAGGACAGGAAATGGCAACACTGTCCATCCACTGTCTTTATTACTGCAAAAATGCACATTGGGATAAAATGTGATTATCTAAAAAAAATTTAGTAAGAAAATAAAAAATGAGATGGGGAGGGGAGGGAGAATTATTTGTACTAGTCAATGTGGATATAGTAAAAAAAGACCTAAAATTATCAAAAGAAAAATGTAGTCCCAGTAATATACTGTAGAACAGTGGTTCTCAAACTGGGGTCACCGCTTGTTCCGGGAAAGCCCCTGGCAGGCCGGGCCGGTTTGTTTACCTGCCGCGTCTGCAGGTTCAGCCGATCGCGGCTCCCACTGGCTGCGGTTCGCCGCTCCAGTCCAATGGGGGCTGCAGGAAGGGTGGCCAGCACATCCCTCGGCCCGCGCCGCTTCCTGCAGCCCCCATTGGCCTGGGGTGGCGAACTGCAGCAGGGCCAGCTTTAGGCCGATTCCCCGAAATCAGGTCCTGTGGGTAAGAGGGCCCCGCGCCTTAGGCTCACCCGGCGGCAGTCTGCTCCGGCGGCATTTCGGCAGCGGGGCGGGGGTCTGCTCTGGGGTCTTCGGCGGCATTTCGGCAGCGTGGGGTCCTTCTGTGCCGTGGAAGATGTGGAGCGGACCCCCCGCCACAGAAGTTTCGCCGAATACCCGGACCTTGGAATCGGGCCCCGCAGGTCCTAAAACCGGCCCTGAACTGCAGCCAATGGGAGCCACGATCGGCTGAACCTGCGGACGCGGCAGGTAAACAAACCAGCCCGGCCCGCCAGGGGCTTTTCCAGAACAAGCGGCGGCCCTAGTTTGAGAACCAATGCTGTAGAACACTTCATATTTCAAGAGTGAGGTGTATTACAGGCCCTGATCCTGTAAAGATTTCCACCTGTGATTAACTTCATGCATGTGGGAAGTCCCATGTACATCAATGGGACTGCTTACAAATGTAATGTTAATCATATGTGGAAGCCTTTGCAGGATTGGGGTCATAAATTGTAAAGAGTCTGTCAATCATTGAACTGGCATCGGTGGAAGGGTTTAAGGTAAGATTAAAGAGAAACCTGTGAATAATATCATATCTGTGAATCTGTGAAATGTCTGAATTAAAATGCAATGGAAAGATCACAAGATCCTTTCCAACCCAGCATAATACTGACTAATAACAATGTCAGCCTAAGGAACATTCTCTCATAATTGAATACCCAAGGAATGGTTAGGAACCACTTTATCAAGATTACTAAAAGAAAGGTCACTTTTTAATATGATAGTAACCACTGGTAGGAAGAACCTGTTAGTCCTCTCAAAAAGAAAAGAAAAAGGGTGGAATCCTTGTATTAAATGATTATTAAAGATAAAAAGATTAAGCAAATTCTCATTTATTTTGAAAGCAAACTCAGCAGTCTCTCTGCAGGACTTTAGAGCTTTAATTGAAAGTTCTTAGTTTAATTCTCAGTTTTTCTCGAATTCAGCCTAATACTTATTTAAATATAGTTTAGCATCCAAATAATCAGGGGGAACACAGGCTTGGCTGAAAGCATCAGTGAGCACAAAACAAGGCTGTCAGTAGCATACTCCAGCTTGGTTGCTAGTCAAGTTTTAAAACGATCACAGCAACTTGGCTAATTGTATTAATTTGCTTTTCTTAAGGCAGAATGGGGAAACAGAATAGCAAACTGGCCCCTGAAGTGATGGAGGATCTGGTGAAGAGCACGGAGTTTAACGAACATGAACTCAAACAGTGGTACAAAGGATTTCTAAAGGACTGTCCTAGTGGTAGACTGAACCTTGACGAATTTCAGCAACTTTATGTAAAGGTACGTTTTTTATTAGCTTCCTATTGCACAGCCACAAGAAGGGTATCAGAGTGGTGCCTCAATATGTGTAGAGCAAAAATATTCTTCATGTCTATCATTCAAATTAAAGTCTATACTGACGAGGAGCAGACAGGTATGTACATAGGAATTGCTATAGCAATTGGACCAGTTGTTCAAATAGATCAGTATTCTGTCTCCGAGAGTGACCAATACCAAATGCTTCAGAGGAAGGATATAATTTTCCCAAAGGGGAAGAGTCTTCCTAAACCCTCTCAACTCGGGGTTGTTTTATGCTCTGAAGGATGAGGGGTTATGGCCCCACTCCTGCAAGATGATTCATGTTGGCAGATCCCTATACCTCCATGCAGTGCTACTGGTTTATAAAATGAGTATCCTGTATATGTTCTCATGATCCATCCACATATCTATTCCTCTTTTGATTCCCAGTCATTTCTTAGCCCCAGTGGAGTCCTGTGGCAGTGAGTACTATCGATTAATTATGCACTGTGGGGAAAAAAAAGTTTCTTTTTGTATGTTATAAATGTGTTGCCTTCCCTTTTCAATAACTTTCCCCTTGTCCTTGGAGTATGAGAGAGGATATGTAGGACATCTGGTTACCTTCTTTTTATTAATCATTAATTTATCACGTACCATGTCTTCTTATTTTTACTATGTATTTATTCTGTAAGGGGAGAAACATTGGAGACAGCATGAGATGTGTATTCATATTACAAAAATAATTACATTTTCATTCAAAATGGAACAACTGCCTGAAGATCAGAGGCTTCAAAGTAATTTTAAGTAGGAAAAATAATGGATAGTGGTGATGAACACTTAGTTCAGAAAATTACAGTGTTAGGTTGAGGAACAATAAAAATGCCAGCAGTCAATTTTACCAGTCCTTTGATGGCCTGGAGCTCAGTAATGATCTCTGTAGGCAAGGACTATCTGTATTTATCTGAAATGGAACTGCAGTCCATCTTTCCTGCATTTCCCCAGCTCTGGACCACACCATCCCCACAAATATTATAAGCGTCCCCCTTCCCGCTGCCAGGGAAGGTTACTGTACAAACACTGCCATCTGCAGTGTATATGAATTAAATTACCATCTGTGCACTTTAATTTCTGTACATTAAAACAGCGTTCCGAAAAGTCCTGTCTTCCAGAAGACTGTGACTCCCTAGTTGTTGTTTTGTGAAAACCCTGCTATTACTGCTTTAGAGCGTTGTGTTTTGTATTGAGTGATTATTGATTGCCTCCATTTTAGATTATGTTTGGCATGTGTCCTACATTGACTTGCATCTTATTTCTCATGCATGTTTGTAGGAAAAGTAAATAAGCGTTTGCAAAATATGTATGTGTAGCAAAATATATAAGGTGTTTAACTATTGTGGAACCATTGCTTCCTGTTTGAGAAATTACAAATAAAAACTGGGGAATGAAGTCTAAATAAGTATTTGTGGAGGGGGGTTGTGTGGGAGGGACAGTTTTATGATATCCTCTCCCAGCCATGAGGACTTCTATTCAAAAGTGTTTCTGAGTCATCCTTCGAGGTCATTGTAGACTCCCACAAGGTGCTTTACCCCAGGGGGAAATAGCCCGGAGGTAAAATTTAGTTCCATTGTTACTGAGTGGTAGTGCAAAATGTAAATCAGAGTATGAGGGTTCAGTGCTGCTTAAAAGCATGAGAACTTTGACAACACACAGAGAAGGAAAATCTGGCTATGAGCTTTAGCGCCTTTATGTTCCACTTGTGTTTGGAAATATAAGCTAAGTAAGATTCCCCAGTGTTTGGCTATTCCTGCTTTTGTTAATAAGTACCCCTAATATTGTTTTAACATAACTCTTATGTGTTTAGCCTAGTTTGTTATAGGCTGAAAATTATATATGTCTACACGCAGGGCAAAATCCTCACTCTGCTGAAGTCAGTGGTAAAACTCCCATTGACTTCAATGAAACCATGACTTCATAGTTTCTCTCCCCTCATGTATATTCTGTAGAACAGTGGTTCTCAACCAGGGGTACGTGAGCCCTCGGGGGTATGCAGAGGTCCTCCAGGGGGTAAATCAACCAGTGGCGTAGCCAGGTTTTAACAGCAGGGGGAGCAAACACATAAAAAAGGCGCCATCCGTCGCGAAGAAAAAACAAAAAGAAAAACCCAAGTCTTGCCGCAGAAGAAAGAAGGACCCGTCGCCGAATTACCGCCGAGACCCAGAAGCTTTATGCCTTTTAATAGTGAAAATAAATATGAAAAATGCCAGCACCGGATCTGGAGCAGCAAAAGTGCCATCCTTTGCCTGAGGAGGTATAGAAGGAGGCTGGGAAGAAAAGTTGCCTGAAGTCCTGAGCAGTAAAATGTAGCTGGAGCAGCAGGAGCTAGAGCAGCAGCTGTGAAGGGAAGAGACCATCCGGAATGGAGGGCAAGTCTAGGGCTGGGCGTCAGCACACAAGCTTAAACTCCAGAGATCCAGCGCAATGCAATGGGGAGGGAGGGAGTATGTAGAGGGGAAAGGCATTTGAAATAATCATGTTAAAAAAAATAACACAGAGGCAACTTTGCTGCCCTAAGGGCTCGAGCAACTTTGTGAAAAATACTGACGGAACTTACAATCCAAACTTCCCCCACTCCCCAAACATCCAGGCAAATGTGACACCCGGGAAAGTGACAACGCACGTCAAAGCAGTACATTTCCAGGGAGCAAGACAGAGCTAGACGTTCTTGACCATTGGAGGCTGCATCTACAGATCTGTGCCTGGGGTGCAACGTATAGAGCTGTAGATCTCTGCACGGCTGCAGTGTACTTACAGAGAGTACAATGTAGGTCCAGGCATGGATAACGTACTGAGAGATACTCATAGGCAAATCTTAACTGCTTCAACGAACCATACCCTTACAAACAACAGTGTGGACTTTAGGGAGGGAAATCAATGCAGACTATGCAATACCTTATGTCTTAACATAGAAAATGCAGCAGCTTTTAATGCTACATTAAAAAAACAACTCTAAGCACATCTGTCTTCATGCAGAGTGGCCCAGGGGATTAGCGGGAGACGGGGAGCAGCCCACTCCGCTTCCCTTGCCCCAGCCGTGTCGCTCAGGGGAGGGGGTTTGGGGGAAGGGATCCCCCCCTGCACTCACTTGCAGCGGCGGAAGCGGAGCAGCCCGGCCCCAGCCAACTCTACTCCGCCAGATCCCAGCTGTGGCACTCCGCTTCCTGCCGCCGGTGAGTGCAGGGGAGGGGGGACCTGAACCCAACTTCCCCGCACTTACTGACGGCAGGAAGCGGAGCGACGCAGCTGGGAGCTGGCAGAGTGGAGCAGGCTGGGACCGCGTTGCTCCACTTCCCGCCACTGCTGGTGAGTGCAGGGGTGGGGGGGAAGGAGGGACCTTTCCCCAATCCCCCGTGACATGGCTGGGGCCTGGGCAAGGGAAGCGGAGCAGGCTGGGGCTGCGTTGCTCCGCTTCCCACAGCAGGCAACCCGGGGGAGGGCGCACAGGGGAACCGCTCCCTGCCCCAGCTCACCTCCGCTCCGCCTCCCTGGGCCTGAACGCGAAGCCGCCGCTTGCTTCTGTGCCCTCCCAGGCTTCCCGTGCGAACAGCTGATTCGCAGGAAGCCGGGGGGAGGGGCAGAGAAGCAGAGTGGGCGGCGCATTCAGGGGAGGAGGCGGAAGTGAGCTGGGGCTGGGGGGCAGGGCGGGGAGCTGCCAATGGGTGCTCTGTACCCACCAAATTTTCCCCGTGGGTGCTCCAGGGCTGGAGCACCCAGGGAGTTGGTGCCTAAGGCGCCACATTTGGAGAATGTGCTCAGGGTGAGCGGCCGCTCCCCCTGCACCACCCCTAGCTATGCCCCTGAAATCAATTTGTCTAGATATCTGCCTAGATAAAAAGTGCTAGCAAAAACAGTACAAACTAAAATTTCATACGGACCACGACTTGTTTATACTGCTCTATATACACCTCTACCCCGATATAATGCTGTCCTCGGGAGCCAAAAAGTCTTACGACGTTATAGGTGAAACTGCGTTATATCGAACTTGCTTTGATCTTCCAGAGTGCACAGCCCCACCCCCCCAGAGCACTGCTTTACCGCGTTATAGCTGAATTTGTGTTATATCAGGTCGCGTTATATCGGGGTAGAGGTGTACTATACACTGAAATGTAAGTACAGTATTTATATTCCAATTGATTTATTTTATAATTATATGGTAAAAATGAGAAAGTACGCAATTTTTCAGTAAGTGTGCTGTGACACTTTTGTTTTATGTCTGATTTTGTAATCAAGTAGATTTTAAGTGAAGTGAAACTTAGGGGTACGTAAGACAAATTAGATTCCAGAAAAGGGTACAGTAGTCTGGAAAAGTTGAGAGCCACTGCTGTAGAACCTGAGAGTTACAAACTGACTGGTCAACCATAAATCTCCTTTAGAACCAGAAGTATGCAATCAGGTAGCAGCAGAGACCAAAAAAAAAAAAAGGGAAAAAACAGTACAGTACTGTGTTAAATGTAAACTACTAAAAATATAAAGGGAAAGTTTAAAAAAAAAAAAAAGATTTGACAACGTCAGGAAACTGTTTCTGTGCTTGTTTCATTTAAATTAAGATGGTTAAAAGCAGCATTTTTCTTCTGCATAGTAAAGTTTCAAAGCTGTATTAAGTCAATGTTCAGTTGTAAACTTTTGAAAGAACAATGTTTTGCTCAGAGTTATGAACATTTCAGAGTTATGAACAACCTCCATTTCCAAGGTGTTCGTAACTCTGAGGTTCTACTGTCAATGCTTCTAACAGGTCATTCCCTGACTCTCTGAGACACTATTACTTTCCATGTTCCCACAGAGGTTGATTCTTGATGCTTGGGACACTCATTCGGTATTAGCTTCTGGATTTTTTTCTGTAATCAGATTTGAAAATTGACTTTCGCAGCAGAGGTCACCACAGGAAGTCACAAGGCATTGTTTTTGGATTTTAACATTCCAGTTCTCTGAAATGCATATTAATGGTA